CGGGTCAGAGCAGGGCAGCCCAAAACTCCCGTCCACCCCCCTGCACCCTCATTTGCCCCCCTGTGCCCCAACAACCCCCAGCATCCCCGCAAACCTCCCATGGCTGGGACAGACTCTCCCCACAGAGCCCCCCCAAACCCCTGCAGGCTCTGCCCCAAGAGGCACCACACCCCTCCCCCGCAGAAAGCAAGCCTAGAACCCCACCACACGCCCCCTCCCCTCCCCCGCGCCGCCTCTCAGCACAGAGCTGGGGAGAGAACCCAGGAGTCCTGACCCCCACACACACCCCACCCCACCCACTGGACCCACTCCCTTCCCTGGGGACAGAACCCAGGTCCCAGTCCTGCACTCAGAGCACATGCCCCCTCCCCGAGATAGAACCCAGGCGTCCGGGCAGCATACCCTTGATCTTCTCGCCCTTGCTGAGGGACAGCTCGCCCTCCGCCTGGGCCTGGTAGGGTTTCATGGCCATGAAGGTTCGGCCCGGCACGGCCGAGTAAAGCTTCCGCTTCATTCCCCGGCTGTTCAGGGTCCCGCCCGCCGCCGCCGAGTCCCTGGGGAAACCGCTAGAACTGCAGAGAGACAGAGATGGCATGAACCCAGGAGTCCGAGCTCCCAGCCCCCCCGACTCTAACCACTAGATCCCTCTCCCCTCCCAGAGCCGGGATAGAACCCAGGAATCCTGGCTTCCAGCCCCCCCCCCCCCCCCCCCACTCTAACCACTAGACCCCACTCCCCTCCCAGAGCTGGGGAGAGAACCCAGGCGTCCGGGTACCTAGGGCGTCCACGCTGCTGCCTCTTGCCGTCCTCAGGGTGGCGCCCACGGGAGGGGGAGCGGGTGCGGGCGCCGCGGGGGCTGCTGGCGCTGCGTAGGGTCCCCGTGGCGATCTTCGGGGCCTGCACAGCCACCGTGGCCGGCGGTGGGGGCGCGGTGGGGGAGCCGTACAGCATCCAGTCGGGCACGTTCATGCTGGTGTCGCTGTTGGCCCGGAGGAGGAGGTGGGGGACCCCCAGGCTGCGCCCCCCGTCTCGGCGCCGGGCTGCGTACTGCGGGGACTCCTGGAACGGGACTGCAGGGCACAGCGTCAGAGCAGGGCACCTGGGAGGGGGGGAGACTGGGGGGGG